CGTCATAGATGGCTTAGAAATGAAGATATATATCATAATTTTCAAAGTAAAATTATATGGGAAATGTCATCGATCATCATTTTTAAGCCAACTGGACGATTATTTCAAACATACAAGCTGAGTTCGTTCATAGTGCTCTGATAAATCTAGATAAACAAAGAATAATAAATTAAAAGTATTTCAGGGGAAAAGAGAGGAAAAACCTGTATCGTCTCTGATATCTGTCAGGGTATTGTTGAAAGTGTCATCTTTTTGCTCGAAGTTTTCAGGTCGATCAAAAAGATGACATTTACACCAATACTTTGCCGTAACTTTCACAAATATCAGAGAGAGTACAGGTATTGCCTCTCTTTTCGTCTGGGATGCTTTATATCTGTTGTTCTTTGTTTTTCTATATTTCTCAGAGCATAATGCCGAACACGACTACAGTATATAATAATTTCAATATCCTAAGTGGAAAGAAAAAAGATCACCTTTCTGTTTTGTACTATGGTTCCTTTCTTCCGATGGCTCATCTAGTTGATATTTAGGAAGGTATCCATAAAATATATATTTTACTATCGGTCCTATCCCTAAATTATGGGCTACCAAAAATTATTTTTGTCTCCTTTCAACGCACACTTTAGAAAGAAAAAGAGATGAACTGTAATACTGAAAGAACGTCAAGGTTTTATCTGTCACTCTCGTCAATAATTTATCGGTAAGGAAGATTCCTAGAAAAAAGCTTGTAGTGAAGTTTAGAACCATTGCCAGTTCTCCCATAAGAAGTGTCATCCACCTGTGGGCATCGACGCTCGAGCTCGGCGGCGCGGCGGCCTACTTCGCTCCAGCCGTCGTGCTCCTAGAGTTTTAGTTCCCTGTCGCGTACTGTAGAGATGGGCAAAAGTAACCGGTTTTTTGAATAACCGGTATTTTCCTCTAAAATAACCGGTTATTTAAAGGTAGTTTTTTTTCACCAGTTAACCTAATAACCTTGCATTACGTTTAATAACCTATAGCCGGTTATTTTTTAAAAAATCGTACTTGTTTAAAACAAGTAACAATTAAATATTAGCTGTTTGAATCGTAAATTTCGAAGAAGCGAACGGCACGGATCTTCCAGATATTACGACGATAACGGGAGATCCCGCTCCCGCTCCCAAAACGAAAATATATGACATCAAACATCAAATGTCAAAATTAAATCAGGCATCAGGCGAACCCTGATGATAATAATCAAAACAACGGCCAAATGGCCCTGACAGGTCAGGCCGTAAAACAAAGTACTAATGGCATAGACTACTACTAGCCACCAGCTAGCCAAGTGATACGAACCTAACTTCAAATAGATTCTCTAAATTCTATATTTAAATTTTAACCGACTTTAACGGATTTTCAACGGTTCTTCAAAAGTCTTCCATGGTTTCGCCCAGTTTCACCCACGTTTCACCGTAAATATATTTTATTTGTAGTTTGAAGTCTCTCTTGAAGCTTAGACTAAAGAATACAAAATTGAAGTTCAAATAATGAATGAAGTTAATCTTTCTTTATCTATTCATTCAGTCTCCTTATTTTTCTTTGGTATTTGATTAAAATAACTTGGTTGTAGATTGTAGAACTTGTGAGTTCAATATCATATCCATGTCTACTCAAAAAAGTGAGGTTAGCATTTTTGTTTAAATTCATTTTGTACATATACATACTTACATTGCTACAATCTCTATTTAATCATACGATTTAACTAAGTTTATTATCTAAATTTGAAGTAGACCTATGGAGTGTAGAGGTAAGTAAACCTATAGGAAAACTAAATATTTAGTTTTGCTAGGTTAGGTTATTTGGATAACCGGTTAATTTGTGTCGGTTAATTTTGTCAAGTTATTATTTTTTAAAGATAATTCCGGTTAACCTATAACCGGTTTTTTACCAATAACCGCCCATCTCTAGCGTACTGCTGTAATTTACGGCTATCGACGCTCGACCTCGGAGGCGGCTTACTTCGTTCCAGCAGTTGCTGGAGCGCTGCTAGGGATTCATTCGAGTACCGCGCATCGTTCAGTGAACATCGCAGCTCTCATAGTGTTTCGCGCTCGGTAAGTGCTTCCCTACATCACAAGCTTGCTCGACTCTTCAGAGCAAGCTCTGCTCAATACGGCCCTCTCCAAGGGTCGTTTCTCCTTCTTCCCAATCGCCTATCATGGCAAGCCTAATCACCTCAGATTAGAAAAAACTACCATAGATTCAGATTCCATATATTCAGATTCCAAACCCATTCTATTCCCTGTCGATCGCAAGATCGCAACCCATCCTGAACCTTTCATCAGGCTTGATCGGTCAAAGGATTACTCCCCTGACGAAATTCAAGACTTAATCTACTCTTATCATTTCTTTAGAGAAAAGAAAAATCTAGTCCGTTCAATTCTTGAGCGCCATAAAATCACTCACAATGTAATAAACTTCAGTAGAAACGTGATCAGTAAAAAGACGAGTCAGGCCAGTACTGACGAGTCTCTTGCATCATCACCAATCCCAGAGAAAAAGTTAGCCTCAAGGGAGGCTTCCCCAGCTCGTCCACCATCCTCACCCTGCACAACTTCAGCAGGTGCAAATCCCGATATAAAAAAGCCCGATTGCCTGGAACGTCAGGTCCCAAAAATCGTAAACCCTCCCGCTGTTGCTCCTCAAACGCAACAGGCGTCCCAACCCAAACCCCTCCCTGCTGTTCTTCAAACACAGCAGGAGCCTCAACCTAAAATTCCCCCTGCTGTTCCTCAAATGCAGCAGGAGCCTCAATCTAAAAAAGCAAAGGGCCCAAAAAGCCTCCCCATGTCGTACTTCGTGATACTCGTCTCTGGATGAGCATCACAAGAACTTTCAAAGAGCAGAAAATCTGCTTTTCCGAAGCAAAAACTGTGCCTCTCGGCATTAGAATCACTCCTTCTTCCTCCACGACCATAGGGCCATCGTCGACTATTTCCTGCGCGGAAAATAATTTTCATAATTTTATTTTCCCCTGATGACAGGGATCTTAATGTTCTAATCAAAGGCGTTGAAGTTTTTGTCGACAACTCGGCAATAATTGAGGACCTTACTTCCCAAAGCTTCGAGGTCAGAGAAATGCATCGTCTCTCACGAGACGGTATTCCCATGGCCGTCGTCAAGGTCAGAGTACCCAAACACCAAACCCACATCTTCGACACCACGCATGTGTGCTCGCTGAGGGTTCGGGTAGTGACGCCGAGGCGCGGTAATGAGGTACGTCAGTGCCACAATTGCCAGCAATTCGGCCATGCTGCCTCGAACTGCTTTGCGGCCCCGCGTTGTGTGAGGTGAGCCAAATCCCATCACACCAAATCCTTTGATAAAGAGGCTGATGCACCTGCAATTTGTTCTTCGGAGGTCCGCATCCAGCTAGCCACAATTCATGCCCAAAAAATCCGAGAAATTGTAATCCCAATACTAACATCCTTAGTCAGCCGGAACAATACTAGCCTTCAGGCACCAACACTTCCCTTCCCCAACACATAAGCAGGAATAAGAGCTGCCATTCTTCGGCCGCTGATTCCTCGGAGGTATTTCGAATCCCACACTGTCTAGGGGTTATTTCTATGACTGTCTCTCTCTCGAGATGGTCATGGAAATGATCACCATTCGTCTATAAAAGATTTTAAACCACCCCCTTACAAAAAAACTTCTAGGGATTCGTTTTCGCCTGTAGCGATTGGTACTATTGGCGTTGGTGCACCCGTCGCCGTCGCTACGTTACTTTGGAAATAGCGATTTTGCATGTAAGCATGGTATGTACAGCGTTGTTTGAAAGATTTAAACGTAAAGCAAATAAAATAAAATGAAAATTTCCAAAAAAAAAATTCTTATATATTTATATAAGTTTTATTGTTTATATCTATTTCTATAACTAATGATGGCTGGAATTGCTGAAACCGGTCACAAATAAATAATTTTTGGACAGTGCTCAGGGACTAGGTAGGTAGTATAGGCCAAAAGAAATGTCTGTCCTAACCCAACAA